ACGCTAGGACCATGCTTTAGCTGATCATTTTCGTTGCCCGTTTGAAGCTTTCTTGCTGACGTTCGGTCCATATCCACTCTCCTCCATCCTTGCACAGCTCCCTCAGGGGCGCAACGATTTCAGCTCCCCTCGGCATGAAGCGCGCAACATGCGAAAGCATACCAAGAAAGCTCTTCAATGCGACGATATCTCCGGGTTCTTTCATTCTTGTTATCGCCTGTTGTTTCTCCGGATCCATTTGTATTCCTCTGTCTGTGAGTACGAAGCCGAAGAATTTAGTTCCCGTCGCTCTCAGGGTAGCCTTCTTCCTGTTCAGCTTGATTCCTTTGTCGCTACATCTCTTTAAGAATCTTTGTAGATTTTCGTCGTGGTTCATTCGAGCTTCGTCATGCGTGTTTCCTCTGCCACAGATCAGAACGTCATCCGCTAATGCGTACGTGTTCTCGAGACCCTCCAGGCATTGTACCAGGCGTTTGTAGAAAATTTCCGGGGCCACATTGAGACCGAATGGTAGTCTTTGCCATTGAAACCTTCCGAAGGGTGTTTGAAATGTGGTCAGGTGGCGGCTTGATTCCTCGAGTTCACATTGCCAGAAACCGTCTGACAAGTCAAACTTTGAGAATACTTTAGCCCCACTGAGGTCCGGGAGTATCTCGTCGAGGGCAGGTGTGTGGTACACCTCCCTTACCAGGTATTCATTGAGTCTCCTTGGATCCAGGCACAGTCGCAGCTGACCCGTTTTCTTTATCTGTATTGAGATTCTGTTGACCCATTCGGTCGGTTCTTCCACTTTGCGGATTATTCCTCTTCCTTTCAATTGTTTCAGTGTTTCGAGGAGTTTCACCTTCAAATGCGGCGACACTCTGCACGCTACGTTACAGCACGGAATTGCCTCTTTTTTGAGGTGTAGTTTGACTTTGCCCGGGAACTTCCCCAGACCTCCGTCGAATACATTCGGGAATGCTTTCATCACGTTTTCAATTGTGCCGAAAGTTTCGTTATGGCAGATTGAATCAACCTGTTCGTAGTCGATGTGAATTAGATTCAGCTTCTCTGCCGTGAACCTTCCGATTATTGGTTGGAATTTGTCCTCTACCACGACGCACTTGATTTCATGTTCCATTTTTGTTTTGATGTTCCTGACTCGTAGGTCCGTGGTCCCGAGCGTCTTGATTGTGGATCTGTTGTATGCTTTCAGCGGCGGACGAACGCCCGTGTTTATTGTCGCGTTCGGGATCATGTGTCTAGGTATGATATTGCATGTAGCTCCGCAGTCTACTTGGAACCGCGTTGCTTTCCCGAACGAGTTAGCCTCTGATACTTGCATCGTGACGTAGACCATTCTCTCGCTAGCTTTGATCGCACACACCCATTGCACTTCTTCTTCTGTGAAGTCTTCGTCTGATTCGAAGTTGCCGTCGACCGTATTTATCTTAGCGCGTCCTGTGTAGCACATCGTTGCGAAATGGTTCATTCTCCCGCACTTCGAGCAGGCTCTTCCCTTGGCTGGACAGGTGTTGTTCGGATGAGTTCGCCCGCACGCGCGACACTCTTTTGATGCCATGTATTGAGATGGTCTTTCATTCCGAAAGCTCCTTTGTTGATTGTTTTGATATCGATTGCCGAACGCGCCATTTTGTTGTGGTCTCGATCTTGACGGTTTCTTGCGGCTTCTTGAGAAATGTTGGAGAGCGTTCGATTCCTCTTCGCTGTTAAGAGACTGCGTGTCTCCGGTCTGCCTTTCCGTCTGCTGCTCGAAAGCCTTTAGCTGACTTCTTGAGGTTTCCATTGCCAAGCAGATCCTGACGGCTTCATCCGCTGATAGCTTTGAAACCTTGAGGAGTTCTCTCCGTGTTTCTTTGTTCGAGACCCCATAGATGATCTGATCTCGAATCATTCTATCAGCCAGTCCCCCGTAGTTGCACACTTTGACTTTCAGTCGGAGGTCTGTTATCCATTCTGCTGCCGGCTCCCCCGGTCGCTGTATCCGTTCTCTGAACATGTGAGACAGGTAATGTTCGGATTCACCGTCTGCAAAGCACAACCCGAGAGTTTTCACGACTTCTTCGTACTCCGGTTTGTCGGACGATCCATATTTCGCATTGAATTCGTCTAAGACAATATCACCGCCGGTCGCGAGCAGAATTGCTATCTTGGTGTCGTCTTCTTCGTTGGTCTTCTTTGTGGCTCGCAGGAACAAATCCACTTTCTGCGCGAACTTTTTCCATTCCGTCCAGGAACGCTTCTTCACAGCAATGTTTTCCGGTAATCGATCCATGTTTTTTTTTTTGTGGGTTTCGATTAATCCGTTGCTGCCACCATGTTAACGAGTCATCACCGAGCGTGTTCGTAGTCGACTGACTGTTTATTTACACACACAAGTCTCATTCCAGACGACAGCGCTATGATATGGATCGGGGTCTCTTTACTGTATCACAACACAGTGACTTCGGCGTCGGACGGCCAGGGTCAACTGAAAGAGGAAGTCATGGCCACGAAAACGACGCTCGCCGACTTTCTCAAAGGGAAGTTCCGAAACACGGTGGGAGCCACACCTGTGGCAACCCAGCAAATCTGGTGTCGTGCGTGGATTGATTATCACGCTAGAGGGCGCCAGAGTCGAGCGTTAGAGAGACGATCGGCGGCCGATCGCGCGAGAAGTTAGTGACGGCGGCATTAATGACGTCAGAACTTGAAGTAGAGAGAGATTCATTCGAGCGCAAGCAATCGTGAAGGGTAGTTGTAGGTGTGTGCCAGAGTGACTAGCCGACTAAGTTCAATAAACTCTATTCAACACCAGTTCGTGACATCTGTGTTACCCACGTAGAGACTAAGTGACATTACAGCAGCGGTGGGGTACGCACGGAACTCGCGAGCAGTGTTGAAAGAAAAGTGATTGAAGTGTACCGAAGCCGAAGCCAACGATGGAAGCGGAAATGCTAGAAATGAAGAAGGAGTTGGAAAAATTGCGCGAGCAGTTAGCAGCGAGCTCAGGAGAACGGATTGATTCGAGGAGCTATGAGAGAAGAGAGAAATTGGTGGATACGGCGACGGCTCTAGCCCGATTCGCTGGAGGTAACGTGGTCGAAGCCACAGAGTGGCTAGAAGAATTCGCATTGGCTAGAGACGTAGGGAAATGGTCTGAGGACTACACGAAGAGCGTACTGTTTACTAAGATGACTGGCCCGGCGCGACTTTGGCACCGAAATTTCGGTATGAAGGCAAAAACTTTCGTAGAGTGGCGCGCAGCGTTCGAGGAATCTTACATTCCGCCAGAGCAGAAGGGAGATTTGATGGGAGAGTTACTCGCGTGTACCCAGAGGAGAGGCGAAGGATTAGAGAATTACGCGCGGCGCAAGGAAGATATTGCATTGAAACTCGATCTCAAACCGGTAGAAATCAAGGAGCAGATCCTCAAGGGGATGCTTCCGGAGTACTGGATGCTAAGGCATGTGATGCGGAGTAAAGAGCATCAAAATACGGCGGACTTAGTTCGAGACATAATGAGGAGTATGGAGTTTGATCGCAGTAGGCCGAGAACGGGAAAGTTTACGTCAGAGAAGGAGCGGATAGCGCCCGAGCACGGTACAGGTATGCTTCCACTGTAGAAGGGAAAGGCCACAAGCAAGCGTGGTGTCCCGAAAAGCAGAGATATGGAAACGGAGCAAGTAGAGGAGCTTCAAACTCGTATGGCGGATTTCGAGGTGGATTCTCAAGAAGCGGATACAACTCGGGAGAATACTCGAGAGATTTCTCAGGAGGAAGATCCGAAAACTTCAGGAGCGCGACGCAAGCCTCGCCGCGAGGGGGCGCTGATAACCAGCGTTCAAGGGAACTGACGTGGAGAGAACAGACTCCTCAGACATCTTCGACTTCAAGCTACGCGATCCCATTAAGATCGGGGCAGACGCCATGCAACAAATGCGGACGGCCGGGGCACCTGGCCCAAAACTGCAGGACCATTCGGAGGGTAGAAGCGTTCGACGAGTCGAACAATTCATTCACCAAGAAGGAAGAAGAGGAAGACGTAGAAGTGAAGAATATACTCGTAGACGATCAAGAATGGCCAGCGAGAATCGACACAGGAGCTCAAGTCAGCATCATCGGAGCATCTGCGGCAGCGAAGCTAGGTCTAAATCTGAGCCCGAGTGAGACACACATGATCGAGGGAGTCGCCGGAGGTCGATCCGAACCTCTCGGACAAGCTGAAGTAGCGATGGACGTGGATGGTCTACACTTCGAGAAAGTTCGATTGACGGTCGTAAGTGATGAAACGATAGGGTCGCCCGAAATTCTTCTAGGGAAGGATCTACTCGACAGAGAAGTGGTAACAGTCTACAAAGAAGGACGAGCCTGGATACTCAAGGAAGAAGCGTTCGAAGTGATATCACAAGTTCTACCTGAGGAAGCGAGGAACATGAAATTCAAAGTCAAGTCCGAAGTGAGGTTGGAACCGAAAGCTGTGTCTCTAGTAGAAGTAGAACCAGATTCGAAGATAGAAGGCTTAGTAGTCTTGGAAGATCAGGCGCAAGTCGGAGCATTATGCGAGATCAAGGAGGGAGAAGATGTCTCCATCCCAGTGATGAATGCAGCAAGAGAGGAGATTACGTTGAAGAAGGGTGCGGTAGTCGCCAGAGGAAGGGTATTGGGCGAGCTGTTCGAGATGAGGAGAATGGGAGAAGCAGGCGGAGCAAGTACGAACGAAAAAGGAGGAGTAGCAACGGTGAAGCAGGTGAAAGCAAAATCGTTGGAAATGATCAGAATGGAGGATCTGACTATAGGAGAAGGAGTACCAGAAGGACGACGTCAGGAACTGCTTGGCATACCTGAACAACTTCCAGGACGTAGTCGTCGACATCGATGAAGGAAACTGGGAAGAACATCACTCACAGATTTCGAGATACAAGAAGTTACGGGCAGCCAACCAGTGAGAACCAAACCGTATCGACTATCAGCGGTAGAGAAAGAAGCGTTGAGGGAAATCATCGAGCAGATGAAGGATGCAGACATGATCGAGAATTCAAAATCAGCTTACGCAAGCCCAGTTCTATTAGTCAAGAAAGCCGACGGAGGGTGGAGAATGGTGATCGACTATAGGAAACTCAACGACCAGACGGTGAAGATGAACTACCCACTACCATTGATTGATGACATTCTGGATGAAATTGGTGGGAAGAATATCTATTCGACGTTCGACTTAGCATGGGGATTTTTCCAAGTTCCGATGACGAGAGAAGCAGCCGAAAAAGCAGCCTTCGTCACAGCGGAGGGACACTATCAACCGAAAGTAATGATGATGGGACTAGCGAACGCACCAGCGAAATTTCAAGAATTG